GGTGATGCTGCCACAGTGCCTGTCCTCCTACCCATACTTCAGCCCCTCTTGCTCTTCCCTCTCTGGTATAGTTTTCATTAGGAGTCAATTTTCTGACCTGAGATAAAAACAGTCCTGGCATGTTTATACAGAAATGGTGTTTTTGTAGTCAAATTTTAATGGTTTGGGACTATATAGAATATAGCATGAATTGAATTACAAATTTTACTTTTCTACTTATTATTTTCAAACCATGTCCTTTTCTATAAAATTTTTTTTAAAGATGTATTTTATTTATTTGAAAGAGTTACAGAGAGAGGCAGAGACAGATAGAGGTCTTCCATCCACTGGTTCACTCCCCAGATGGCTGCAATGACCAGAGCTTCACTCATCTGAAGCCAGGAGTTTCTTCTGGGTCTCCCACATGGGTGCAAGGGCCCAAGGACTTGGGCCATCTTCTACTGTTTTCCCAGGCCATAGCAGAGAGCTGGATTGGAAGAGGAGCAGCTGCGACTAGAACTGGCGCCCATATAGGATGCTGGTGCTTCAGGCCAGGGCTTTAACCCACTGTGCTATAGCGCTGGCCCCTATAAAATTATTCTAACTAGGTATTAGAATCTTGTACATCAGCTGGTGCTGCAGCTCACAAGGCTAATCCTCCACCTGCGGCTCCAGCACCCCAGGTTCTAGTCCCGGTTGGGGCAGCGGATTCTGTCCCATTGCTCTTCTAGTCTAGCTCTCTGCTGTGGCCTGGGAAGGCAGTGAAGGATGTCCCAGGTCCTTGGGCCCTGCACCCACATGGGAGACTAGGAGGAAGTACTTGGCACCTGGCTTCGGATTGGCGCAGCGCGCAGGCTGTGGCAGACATTTGGGGGGTGAACTAAAGGAAAAAGGAAGACCTTTCTCTCTGTCTCTCTCTCTCACTGTCTAACTCTGCCTGTCAAAAAAAAAAAAAATCTTGTACATGATGCTTGATAATAATTTTACCAGCAAGCGTCTTTGCTCCCTTTCAGTTCTTGATAATGAGTCAAACAAGTTAAAACATCCATAAAAACATATGTCAAGCTGGGGCCCCCGAGTAGAGTTTGGATCTTAGGAAATGAAAATTATGTTGCAGATAACATTTCAGTGGGAAAAGTTATATAAAGGAATATATACATAATTCTAAATATTTGAATGGTCAGCACAAGGAGTACATTATGAGACGACTTCATTAAGTGGGATAACCATGAACACAGCAGTGCAGAACGGTGGTCCAGAGTGTGGCCACTAAACCCAGACTCTTGTCAGAGCTCTCGGGTTTAGGGTCTGGCTAAGTTACATCGTTTGAGACTTCGTTGCCCTCCATGGTGAACTGGAGAGCACAGTGGTAGGTACCGCCTAACATGTTCCTGGCACATCCTAAATTCTCATTGTTAGCCTTGACGGGCAAAACCCGAGGATCAGGGACCTACTACATCTGTTCACTGTGAAAATGTGACATTGTGTGTTTTGATTTATTCTCCTCTTTTCTATCATCCAAAGTTACCGTGGCATGATCTTCCCTCCCATTCTAACTCCGGATGTTTCATAGCACGGACATGAACCTGGACTATTGCTTTTGTCCGTGAGCTGTCTTTTTCCTCCAGAAAATTCTCTGTGCCAGCCAGGGTGGCCTCCCAAGCTGCTGCTGTGTCTGGGCAGAGGAAGAGGCTTTGGACCTCCGTGGTGTTGGTCTACACAAGGCACTGCCCCTGCCCCACAGATTTGCCTGTCTCCATCTTTCTCTTGAATATAATAAGTACTGAACTATTATTTCTTTTAAAATGTATGTTTTAGTAACCTGAACATGTCAGGTACACTTTCCCACAATGTGTTTTGAATTATCTTTCTTAAATTTAGAAAAGGGGAATATTTAGAGAGGCTTAATTGGTTTCAGTATAGTTCTTAAGAATGTTATATGCTACTCACTGAATAACTTTAATATTTCACTCCAGGTTGGGAAAATAAGCTAATTGTAAGAGAATGAACTTAGAAACACTTCAGATTATAATTCTGATTTCAACAGACTTCACTTTATTAATGCACATTGTAATGCCATTATGAACATTTAGACCCAAAAAGATCCCTTAAAGAACCATGTAGAGTGAGTCCCTTACCTGCCCCTTGAGTGCTGTTGTGCGTAGGCGTGCCACTCTTGGATGTTCGCTAGATTTTTTTCATCCCTATTAAATCTTCATATGGGCACCAGTGAATCTGATACTAACTAAGCAGTGTCCTCAAGTATTACTTTATGCCACAGAAGGTGCAGACCCGATGCAGTGGACAACAGAGTGAGTAAGGGATTTTTGAAGTGAGTGCCTTGACAGTGTTCTGAGTGAATGTAAAAACCAGAAGATGGGAAGACAGCTGAAGGTTGCCGGAGAAAGCAAAGCCTGCAGTGATGCGGGTCTGGACTGTGAGGCTGTGGACCAGGAGCAGAATGGATAATTACGTTAGAGGTTTCAAAGGAAGCATAAGCAGGTTGTAGGAAATGGAGCAAGTCTCATGGATGAAGGGAAGGAACAAAGTCCATGAGTATTGCCAAGCATGAGTGACAGGTGAAAAGGCTGGCCCTGTGGTCACAGACTGTGGGAGAGAGAGTTGGCTGAAGACTAAATGGGAGAAAATACAATGAATTTGCTTGAGTTTGGGGTAAAAATAGGACACCTGTTTAGAAATCTTTCTCAGAGTCTGGCAGGTGTTGGACTAAAAGTCTCCATAGCTGTGGCATATTTGGGGTAATAATAATGTAATAATAATTACATCCCAAGAACCAGACTGATGGCCTGATGCAGAGGAACAGGAACAAGTGTTGGCACTGAGGCTGGGAAACACATAGAGGTGGGCGGAGCTCATTCCAGAGCTGATGGAGAAAGTATAGAAAGTAGCGTAACTTCATGGCGACCCATTTAGGAGACATGAGAGAACTGATGGTGCTTATCTTCAGGAAATGTTGACTTAGGTGAATAGTAACCGTGAACACAGGCAGTTCAGCTTGAATTATAAAACCCGGTGTTGGCCCCCGGTTCTAAAATTCTGCTTTTTGTTTTTTAACCTTTAGAGCTTCTGAGGCCCAATATATGCTGGAAAAAGGAAGCTGTACTCATTTTGACTGTCAGAACCAGTATCTTTAAAAGTCCCTCCTCGTTTGGTTACCTTGAGTATTAGAAGTAATTAATAGATTCTAAAAATGCAGGGACTGTCGTATTTTATTTTAATGATGTGATGGCCAAAACATGGAATTCACGAAACCCTGGTGTAATGCTCACACCTAGGCATACCCACGTGATAACTGTGTTAGTCAGCTTTGCGTTGCTGTAACACAGTGTCTGAGACAGGCTCACGTAGGAGGACAGGAGGTCGGTTTGGTTCATAGTTCTGGGGCATCCTCTGGATGGGGGCCCGGCAGTGGGTGTGTCACCTCATGGTGGGAATGTCTATGGGGGAAGGGACTGTGTCTTGAGGAGGGTCTTGCCCCTTTTATAGCAGTTGTCTCTGGAGATCCCCCAAGGAGTCTTGGGACAAGGCCCTTAATCTCCTCTGTGGGTGGTGCCTTCAGCAAGATAAAAGAACCTCCTGCCAGGCCACACCTCTTTTTTTTGAGGGGGCTAAAATTTACATATTTATTTAGAATGAGCAAAGGAAAGCAGGTTCAGATGTTCTGAAGGCCGACCAATGTTGCAGGATCAGGGAGCCCAGCCAAGCAGCACCATGGTTTTATTCATTTTTTTGAAGGTTTTTACTTAATGAATACAAATTTTCTTATATACAGCTTTTAGTGATAGTGTTTCTTCCACCCATTCTCGTCCTTCCATCCCACCTCCTACTCCCTCTCTCATCCCATTCTTCTTTAAGATTCATTTTTAATTGTCTTTATATAGAAAAGACAAACTTTATACTAAAGAGAGATTTCAACTGTTTGCACCCACACAGACACACAAAGTATAAAGTACTGTTTGAAGACAAGTTTTACCATTAATTCTCATAGTACAACTCATTAAGGACAGAGGTCCTACATGGGGAGTAGGTGCACAGTGACTCCAGATGTTGAATTAACAACTGACACTCTTATTTATGATGTCAGTAATCACCCAAGGCTTTTGTCATGAGCTGCCAAGGTGGAAGCCTTTTGAGTTCACAAACTCCATCAGTTTTTAGACAAGGCCATAAGCAAAATAGAAGTTCTCTCCTCCCTTCAGAGAAAAGTACCTCCTTCTTTGATGGCCGCTTCTTTGCACTGGGGTCTCACTCACAGAGATCCTTCATGGAAAACCATTTTTGCCACTGAGTCTTGGCTTTCCATCAGACCCCACCTCTTAAAGGTCCCACCACCTCCTAGACCACCACTGTGGGCACCAAGCTGCCAACACTGGGACCCTGTGGGACACCCGAAACATACCCAGACTACAGCAGTGACGTTCATAGTGGTTTCTGGAATACCCGGGATCCTGTTTATCTACAATTGTGTGTAATTATACACTTAGGCTTGAGATTATAGAATTCTAAAAGTTTGTGAAAATTTATGTTTTCTGTGTTTCAGGTGTTTCTGGAGTTTTAGACATTTTTATTTCAATACAAGTGTACTTCAGGAAGTTTGTGTAAAATGGCATTAAAAGCTAGGCTTATTTTGGTTCAGAAGAAATTTAAAGCCCATCCAGATGACAGGTCTTCAGTATTCAAAAAAAGTGCCTTGAAAATGTCCATTCAGGAAACAACCATGAATAGAGTTCAAAGTTGAGGCACCAAACTAAACTTCACTTTTTATTCGAGGCATTTGTCTTGTAGAAATAGACGTACTCTTGTATCACATTCCTGTTGTTGTCCAAAGTGGATCTTTGGCTGTGGGGTGTGCGTGTTTGTATCGATACATAGGGAATAGGTACGGATATTGTTTTATTACCCTGGGAGTCGGGGAGGGCTTGCTGCCCGTGGGTGTCACTGTCGGGAGGATGGCCTGCTTAAATGACTCTGTGTGTGTGTGTGTGTGTGTGTGTGTGCAGCCACAATTCCTTCCGGAGGCATCTGCCACGGCAGATGCAGGTCTCCAGTGTGGATTTCAGCATGGGCGCAGAGCCCGTGTTACAAAGAGGCGAAACCACCACCAGCATCGGGAGGATCAAACCAGAGCTCTACAAACAGAAATCCGTCGACTCGGAGGGAAACAGACAGGAAGATGTCAAAACCTGCGGGAAGCTGAACTTCACCCTGCAGTACGATTACGAAAATGAACTTCTCGTGGTGAAAATCATCAAGGCCTTAGACCTCCCCGCTAAAGACTTCACAGGGACCTCTGACCCTTATGTCAAGATGTATCTGCTGCCGGACAGGAAGAAGAAGTTCCAGACCCGTGTGCACAGAAAGACCTTGAATCCGCTGTTTGAGGAAACGTTCCAGTTTCCAGTAGCATATGACCAGCTGAGCAACCGGAAGCTGCACTTCAGCCTGTATGACTTTGACAGATTTTCTAGACACGACATGATTGGAGAAGTGATCCTGGATAATTTGTTTGAAGTCTCTGATCTCTCCAGAGAAGCCACGGTGTGGAAAGACATTCACTGTGCCACTACAGTAAGTAGTAATCCCACCAATATATTGTTTTTTTTTTTTATTTGACCTGCAGTGGTATATAAGGCTAGATATTACCCAGATAATCAGAATAAATTCTACGGAGTTCTGGAACTGACGTCCTAAGAACCTGCAAAAAGGTAGGATTTGATTTTTTGGTAATAATTTGGAAACTTTACACTGTAAGATAGCGTTAGTGGTTATAGTCAAAGGGGGAAAATAAGTTACTGAGATAACTTAGTTCTCTCTCTTGTTAAATATTATCTGGAACCCATCTACAGCACTCAGCTTCTTGGTCTTCTTGGTCTATATTGACTGATTATTTAAGGTGAGTTTGTCCTCAGATCAAACCCAAAGTGAGCTTTGATGCTATCTGGGAAAGCCGTGGCTTTGATGGGAGGCAGCCCATTACTCCAGAAGCCGTGGAGGCGCGTGCGCAGTGAGGGGAGGAGAGTGAGATGTGTCATCAGGAAGAGACTATTCACAGCAGAGCTTGCTTACTGCCAATGCTCCTTCTGATCCAGATGTCAACTGCAGTGTTGAAAATTTGGAGTAGAGGGAAATCGTAGCACAAAACGAAAATGGCTAACAATGCTGTTGTATATATTTTGGCATATTTTCCAGTTTTTTGCTATGCATGTCTTAAAACAGTTACGGTCTGTTTTCACACTGAGTTTCTTTGGTGGTGTATTTGTTGTAGTCCAGTATGCTTAAATGCATGATCCACTTAACCTCATCTTATTGTTAGGCATATTGGGCTCATATTCTGTTATAGTAAAAATTGAGGTTTTTCATAAAATTTTTTAAAAAAACTTACAGATGATTCATCCTGGGTAGAGAGAGAAAATTAAGAACTGGTCTCTTAGGTTAGACTGAAAAGTTGTTTGAGTTTATGAGTTTTTAGATAGATGCATTAGATTCTTTACCACTAGGTGTATGTGTATTTATGAACTTTTGTTAAACTAAAAATTATAAGTTTTACATGTTGCATATAGATAACCCTTGAATAGATAAGGACATATTTAAAAAAATTTTTTTTCGACTCATATTGGCTCATTTTTTATTTTCTCCCTTGTCGATATTTTGCTAATTATAGTCCATATTTAGGATGCTCATACTGTCATTATAAATTCTGAGAATCTTAAGAAGATATATGTCATCATATTAACATACAGCATCATAACGTTTTCAGTTCCTGGGTTTTCAATTCATAGTCACTGCTGTGTTCTGCAAGGGAACTGAGAAGGAGTTGTGAGATGGGGTCAGCTTTCATGTTGATGAGTTACTTTGATTTCACCTTAGTTTTTACTCTGAGGTTTATATTTCTAAATGGGAAATGTGGTTGGCAGTGGTTTTTACTGTGTTTAAAAATACAACAGTGAGGAATCTGTAAATGCAAACAGGAGCTACTTGCTGGTTCTCTTGATTGCTCAGTCTTGTGTGATTACTTCTTTAATTGATTTCAGCAAATATTTAGCGACTGCCTGCTAGGTTTTTGGTATGCTCTAGGTATTAGGGATAGAACAAGCACATTGCATTGAAAAGTGTTTTGAAACGTGTTCTATTTTAGTAGTAAGATTCAGAGGTCAGTAATCCACAAATGAAATATAAAACGTAGTATGAATTGCTAGGAGATTAGCAGAATTTTTTTTTAATCTAACATTCATACTTTTTTTTATTCTAACTTACTGTTTAGAGAGGAGTAGGAATCCCTGTGGATTGCTGATAATACAGCCTCACTTGCTAAATATTAATTCTGTTTGATTTTCAACTCGTTCACATGCCTGGTGTGTTGTCTACTTCTGCGTAATTACATGTGCAGTGTCTTACAGCAACTGAAGCATCGCACGGTTGGGTCAGGAGTCTGATGTGGGTCTCGGGAGCTGACCTAGTGTGGTAGACCTGTACTGCTCCCTGGCGCTCTTGGCGACCCCCATTCCTTCCCAGCTTTGCTGGGTTCCAGAGGCTGCAGTGCTCCCTGGGCCTGGATTGGGCCCCTGTGGGGAATCAGGAAACTCTTCACATCTCAGTGTCTATGAAGGCTTTTGAGCAATCTTAGGAGTCCATCCACAGAGTCGGGGCAATAGCAGGTGCCGTCTCCGGGGACAGTGACTTCCTTCTGCCTCCCACACATGTGGACATTTTCAACTCACAACAGAAAAGTAGGGGAAAATGGAGTTCATTACGGAGTGATTGCAGTAAAGTGGTAACTTGCCTTTAACTCAACTGTGGAGTCACGCTCTCTCAAGATACTGAAGGCTACTCGGGGGGACATAGTGCTGAAACTTGCATTTCTAGACTGTTTCGGCAGAGCTCACAGAGTACACTACTGCCATCTTTCTGGCTGAGTAATATGCAATTAAAACCTCCACTCAGCTTTTGAGTGAGCATTAAGCAATTTTTGTTTTCTTGTAACAATGGAAATGATGTGGGTTGAAATTCTCTTGGGAAACTGTTTCCTATTCACACATCTTTAATGTTAAATAGAAATTATAGTTTTATAGAAAAGAACTAAATAGAAATACAGTATTTGGATGTACTTTAGAATTTCATGGAAGTAGAATTCAAAGATGTTTGTTTTGGAGCAATTTTGAGGTCCATGCATAGGCTCTCATTTAAATAAGGGCTACAAAAACTTTCCAGGTGGTCCATCTGTGCAAACACAGATTTGAAAAAACATTTTATGTAACAGTTAAAACAATTAATTAAAAGATTAGCTATCAGGGTTATGGGGTTGTGGCACTGCTGGGTAAGCTGCCACCTACATCACCAGCCTCCTTTATGGGAGTGCTGGTTTGAGTCCCAGCTGCTCCCCTTCTGATCCAGTTCCCTGGTAATGTGTCTGGGAAAGCAGCAGAAGATGGCCCAAGTACTTGGGCCCTTGCACCCATGTGGGAGCCCTGAATGGGGGTTCTGGCTCCTGGCTTTGGCCTGGTGCAACCAGTCTGTTGTAGCAGTTTAGGGAGTGAACCAGTGGATGCAAGATCTCTTTTCTCTGTTTTTCTGCCTTTCTCTGTCATTCTGCCTTTCAAATAAAAAAATAAAGATTAGCTATCCTATTAGAAGAGATGCATGACAAAGACAAATATTGTTACAATTGTTACATTTTTATAATCACATGTAATTTTATACTTATAAAAGTGTGTAATTATATAATTTAATATTTATGAGAATCCTAGTAATTTAAGGTTTTTATTTGAATTGAGCATATATGAGTTTTAAAAAATGCTTTTATATAACCAACTGCAAATGTCCAATGTTGTTTAGTCCAGCATCTAATGGGATAAAGAGCATTTTTTTAGCAGTGTGAAAACCACTAGCTGGTGGACTTCTGATATTTAGTGATTCTTTCGGCTTCATTAAGTGTTTGTTTACTGTCATTTTTATGTAAATGTCTGAATTTTTTACTCTCTAATGCCAATTAATCTTAAAATTGTTGGAGATAGGACTTTGCTGTTTTCTGTTCTTCATTTTTTATTTTTTATTGTGCACTTATTTTCATCTACTTGAAAGACAAGTGAAGGAGACAGAGACAGAGATCTTCTACTTGTTCATGCCCAAATGCCTTCAACAACCAGAGCTGGACCAGGTTGGAACCAGGAGCCCAAAATGCAATCCTGGTGTTCCACGTTGGTGGCAGGGACCCAGATACTTGAGCCAACACCTGCTGCCTCCTAGGGTGTGTTTTCAGGGATCTGGATCAGCAGCACAGGAGCAAGGCTCAGGCATTCTATTATGGGGTATGGGTGTCCCAAGCAGTACTCAGCCCACCGTGCCACAAGGCCTGTGTCTAAGTGTCTCATCTGAAGCAGTTTCTATCACGCAGTCTCTCTCATATGTGTTACATACACTTGAAGGCCTGATGTCCAAGCCTCATCCAAAAATTCTTCCTGGCCAGCTCACACCGTGAAATTGACTTTTTCCCCCTATAGCACTTGATTAAAAAAAAATATTTACTGTGAACTTTGTGTGTTCAGGGTTTATATTTACTTGTCAAGTGGAGGAAAGACTAGTCTACTAGAAAAAGTAAACAAGTAAAATCCTAGTTTTAGGGGCCGGTGCTGTGGCACAGCAGGTTAAGCCACTGTCTGCAGTGCCAGCGTCAATGTATCTCAAAGTGGGTGCCAGTTTGGGTCCTGGCTTTTCCACATATGATCCAGCTCCTTGCTAATGCACCTGGGAAAGTGGCAGAAGATTGCCAAAATCCTTGGTCCCCTGAATCCACATGGCAAGCCCAGAAGCAGTTATTGGCACCTGACTGGTCTGACCCAACCCTGGCCATTGTGGACATTTGGGGAGTGAAACAATGGATGGATGACTTCTCTCTGCCTCTGCCTTTGCCTCTCCCTGTCTGTACCTACCTTTCAAACAAATAAATAAATCTTTAAAAAATGCAAATTTTAGTCAAGGGCTTCAGTCTCACAGGGGAAATAACTAAGTTTATGTTAGGGTATAAACTACTGTGTATTTGTGATAAACTCCTGAGATGTGGTCTTGGAGTTCATGGTGTAGACTGTATGTCATGTGAACATAGTGTTTGAGGTTGGCTTTGGATGAGGGAATTGGGGAGGGTTGAGGGGTCTTGGACTATAAGGCATCATGAGAGAGGAAAGAAGGCTGTAAAGTGTTGTCCATGAAAACGTAAGGTGCAGAAGAGAGCACAGGAAACCCAAACTAGAAGGCTGTGTGTAAGCTGCAGTCAGGAGAGTGTTCAGTGCCAGGAAAATCCGCTTCACTTGTTTTTATCAGGATACCAAAATTGCTGGAACTATGATCTCCTGATACCTTGATGTGTGCAGTGGATGGAGTGGAGGACTGTGAAATGGAGGAGTCAGATAGGATTCTTAGTTTTTTAAAAAAAGATTTATTTAGCTATTTGAAAGGCAGAGTGACAGAGGGAGAGACACAGAGGTCCTCTATCCCCAGGTTCACTTCCTAAAGGGCTGCAATGACCAGGGCTGGGCCAGGTTGAGTCCAGGGACCTGGAATTCTATCGAGGCTGC